ATGGAGCTCAGTGAGGAGTGCTCGGCCATTCTACAGAACAAGCTTCCGCAGAAGCAGAAGGACCCAGGTAGTTTCACTATCCCGTGCTCTATAGGTAAATTGCATGTAGAGAGGTCCTTGGCGGATCTAGGTGCTAGTATTAATGTGATACCATATAAATTGTTCAAGAAACTAGGCCTAGGTGAACCTAGTGCAACTAGGATGAGTATTCAACTAGCTGACCGATCTATAATTCACCCTAGGGGCATAGTGGAAGACCTTCTGGTTAAGGTTGGCAGATTCTTTTATCCTGTGGATTTTGTTGTTTTGGACATCAATGAGGACACAGAAGTGCCACTTATACTGGGAAGGCCTTTCCTGGCCACCACCAAGGCCCTTATAGATGTGCATGACGGGACCTTAGTCTTGAGGGATGGCGAGGAGCAAATAACATTTTCCATTGCTAATACTCTTCATGCTTCATCACCATTGACTGTTGTTTCTCACCAGGAGCACGAGTTTGTCGTATATCCTTCTGTGCTTCCTATTTTGCAGGATTCCCCTCCCATACCTTCGCCGCCACTCCCATCCACTCTGTTACGAAAGGAAAAGATCAGAGAGGAGTGGCGGCCGAAGCTGCCGGTAGCTCAGCCTTCTCACAAGAAAGCCGGAGAACACTATGAGCTGCTCCCGCCTCCTGAGCCTCGATTACCTTGCCATCCGAGTATTCACTCGCTTGCATCCTGCCGGATGGCCAGGTCGAATTGACGAGTGCTGGTGGTCACACCCGCCGTGTGCATGGCCACCATCTGAAGTTGTACCTCAAGAACGATGTGGATCCGCTCTTGAAGGCACCTGCTCTTACACTTCTTTGAGCATCCACCTACTGGCGTCCAGCTAAAAGACGGTAAAGAAGCGCTTGTGGGGAGGCAACCCCACCAAGGTTTTTTTTTCCTTCTTTTTTTTTTCGTTTTGTCCACTTGGAATTATGGTTTCTATCACCCAGTGTGTTTTGATGACTCTAGACCTGCTGACTGGTCCCATTTCCAGTCCACCAACACTCCATATTCCAGGTAACATCGTTCCCCTTATATTTCCCTTGTTCCATTGAGGGCAATGTCGTGCTTAAGTGTGGGATGGGGGTGTTTATCTATTTTTGACTGCTAGATGAGTTTGTGTGCTTGGAGCCTAGTCCACTGTCCAATTTGATGAATTGAGGGCTCCAAGTACTGTTCCCTGCAAAATCCTGCTCAGTATGCTTTGAATTGACAGTCTTTATGGTGATATGCAACCTAGGGAGGTAGTTGTAGCACTGTGGAGGATGTTGAAGTATAAGATTTTTCCTATCTGACTCTCTGCCGTGCCGGTTGATTTTGTGAACTAGTGGATTTAGGACCGTTGATTCATGTGGTATTGATGACTCTTCTTGTGTTGTGTTGTGGACTCGTGTATCGAAAAAGGGTGCTCAAGTGTGAAATGAAAAAGCAGTTGGTCCTCCATGTCAAAATTTTGAAATTCTAAGACATGGGGTAAGCCCAGCGTGTGTGGCACCATTCATTGCACAAAATCGGTTTTTGGAAGAGATTTTAGTGATCCTTGGTGGGGTAGGCCTACAAGGTGAAGCTAAGTTGTCTCCAATAAAAGTAAAATTTCCACCCGTTGAACGGTTTGCCTACTTGAGGATGTGTTTTTAAGTAGGGGTGGCAATACAGTCCGGTTAAATTGGCCTGAATTGATTCGGTCCAGTCCGGTCTTTTTGGAAATATGGGGACCAAAACTTGGATTGGGTACAGTCCGGTTTTGACCCGGTCCGGTTTTGACCCAGTCCGGTCCCAATCCGGTTTTGACCGGTTTTGACCCGTTTTGACCATGTTGCAAAAAATTCAGCAGCATATACCTATTTTCCTGGAATGTAAACAACCTGTTTGTAGCAAAAATCAAGCCAAATATGGTCCAATACAAAATCACAACCATCATTGATGTCTATTACAAACTCAAAGTCCAATTCAAACTTCAAAATAAAAATAAAGTGCATCACAAGTTCACAAACAAAGTTTAGACATCAAACACCAAATTCACTCCAATCTAACAAATTCACCAAACCATTTCTACTCATCAGGTTCAAGAGAAATAAATGAAGCATTAGATCCACCTCCTTGATTTGTTCCACTCCTTGAGCCAAACACATCACTCCCTCCGACATTGCTCGTACTTGTACCTTCGTGTTCATTCACATGCTCACACCTTTCCGCCTCATCCACCATAATAGCATTGTAAACTAAATGACATGGATAAAAAAAATATAATTGTTAGCAATAGCATTTATATGGCCAAAACTAAAAACTACAAAGTAATTTACTTACCATTCACGAAGTCTTCTTGATCCTCATAGTCATCATCTTCACCATCAAGATGCTCCACAAACTCACTAGAACTTGATCTAAGCCAATCTTGACTGCATATGAGAGCTTCCACAATCTTAGGATGCAAAGAGCTCCTAAATTCATCTAAAACACGCCCACTTGTGCTAAAAACGGACTCGGAAGGAACAGTTGACATAGGAATAGCAAACAGATCCTTTGCCATCTCACTCAAGATGGGATACCTCATAGCATTAGTCTTCCACCACTTCAACACATCAAACTCTTCTTCGGCATCATCATATTCTCGAGGGTGAACAAGATACTTCTCCAACTCACTCTTAGTATGACCAGCTTGAGGTTTTCCATAATCATCATCAGGATCATAATCATCATAAGATTCATCAGAATCATTACCTGACCTCGGTGAACTTGAAGTGGCAACTTGTACTCGACGTTTTGAAGGAGAAGAAGGAGCAGGGGGAGGCATCTTACTCTGATAATATTCGAACAACTTCTCAAGTTCATCATTCAACTCTTTCACCAAAACTTTTGCCCTATCATCTCCACACATCTTCTTGAAAATATGTTCCGGATAATTCATCTTATGCCTCGGATCAAACACCACAGCCATGTAAACCAACCTGTTCAATCTGAAGTTGACACAATCCTTCTCCGACCAATATTTGTCAACTTTAGCCTTCATCTTCATACCCATCCTAACTATGTCATCATCTGTGCTATTCATCATTTTCTCAACATGATAGAATACCCTTCCAAACTCTCTCAAGAATCGATGAGCAGTCACAACAGAAGTAGTGGATGCAATCAAAGTCAAATCATGAAAGAATTTCAAATACTTCATCAAAACTTTTGCATTCTTCCAATCTTCATGTTGAGGGACACCAATTTCTTGATTCTTGTATCTCTTTGCCTTGAGCTCAGGCTTGTAATCCTTATCCTTCCTCTCAAGACTAGAGAATGCATCTTCAAACAACACAGCAGCTTCAAGCATGTAGTAGATGGAATTCCACCTTGTAGGCACATCTAGACTCAACATCTTCTTTGATTCAATGTTGTGAAATTCCACACACTCCTTGAACTTTGCCAATCTAGATGGTGATGATCTAACCCATCTCACAGCCTCTCTCACCCTCCTTATTGACATGCCCATCTCTTCTAAACCATCGCTCACAATCAAATTCACTATATGAGCAATACACCGCATATGAAGGTACTTTCCATCAACTATATTAGTACCCCATTCTTCAAGTCGATCTCTCAAATGAAGAAGTGCCGTGTCATTTGCACTTGCATTGTCAACTGTGACGGTGAAAATATTTTTCAAACCCCAATGCTCCAAACAATTGGCTATTGCATCACCTAGATCAATCCCCTTATGACTTGTAATCTTGCAAAAACTTATCACCTTCTTGTACAACTTCCAATCCTTCCCAACAAAATGTGCAGTGATGCACATATAGTTGAAATTTTGACAAGAAGTCCAACTATCGGTAGTTATGGACACCCTTCCTCCACACTTTATCTTGAAGTAATCTCTCAACTTGCCCTTCTGTTCAAGAAACAATCTAAAACAATCTTCTCTAATACTTCTTCTGCTTGGAATCTTAAACATCGGACAAGCACGTGCCATGAAGCGCTTAAACCCTTCTTTCTCCACACTCCTAAAAGGCATTTCATCCAGAATTATCATTTCAACTAACCCAGCTCTGATAAATTCTTGATCAAATTTCCAAGTCCCCAAAACTCCTTGCCCTTCAACAGAAGTTGGATTGAGTTCTAGATTCAACTGCTTCCCCTTTTCTTTTTGTTTCTTTAAGCACCTTTGAGTATGCCTACCCAAAGAACTTGTACCATTTCCCGAGGGATCCCCAGTCAGTGACTTTCCACAGTAATGACACCTTGCCTTCTTCTTGCCTTTAGCATCTTTGTAACAATCATAATGCTGTCATACAGGTGACCTTAACACATACTCCCTATTGGTCTTCTCCATTTCAGGTGTTGTTGTGGTGTTGGTAGCTGCTGGCCGTTCTTGTTCTAGAGTGGCAGCGGCTTGAACAGTAACATTTCCACTATTATTCCCACTTTCAACAGCTGCCTTTGAAGCTTGTGGTTGTGGTCGCTTCTTACTAGGAAGAGGAGGCAAATTTCCACTTTCTCTTGATGCCGGAACTCGATTCTTACTACCCTGCACAACACAGTTCAATCAATATTAGAAAATGCACTTCACTTCCTTCTCCATTACAGAACAAACACTACATTGCTAAAAAACAGCAAACAACAATAGCAAACAAAAAACAGCAAACAACAATAGCAAACAGTCTTAGAAGATTTCCATTATTGATCTTGGGTTTACCAGCAAACAACAACACATTTTGTTCCTAAAATAACAGCAAGACTTACATCACATCAGCAAACAACAACAACAAGACTTACATCACATTCAAAATCTTCTAGTGACTAGATTAAATCAATTCATCACTAAAATAAATCAACAATAGCTTACCCAACTGCTGCTCCCTTCCATATTTCTGACTTTTGCAGTTGTTGCCGCCTGTGCTGGTAGACGAATGGAGGGTGACGAGATGCAGGGTCGGCTTTTGTAGCAGAGGCTTTCTGGGTCGTTTCCAAGGGCGCGAGATGCTGGCTGGCTGGTCGCTCGGCGTCGTGGAGCTGATCGGAGGTGGTCGCGACGGTACAGAGTTGAGGGCGGAGGCTTCCTGTTCCTGGGTCGCGACGGGACGGAGGCTTGCAGGCTGCAGCTGGGTCGCGAGTCGCGACGTCACGTCGCAAAGAGGAGGGAACGAACGGCTACTCCGCGGCGACCAGCAACGAGAGAAGGTCAGTCGCCGTCGCCGTCGTGATGGTCTGAGACTCCGTCGACGGCGCGATGGTCCGAGAGTCTCCGATGGCGATGGGCGATGCTTTCACTTACTCTCGAGGGAGAGGGAGGCGGCAGGCGGAATGAAGAGAGGCTTACCCAGCGCAACCCTACAGACGACAGAGAACAGAGGCCATGGGTTAGTGGGCCGGGGTAAGTGGGTATTGGGTTGGCCTGTCCCTGGGCTGGGCTCAAAATAAGCCTCTAAATCTGTTTTGTAATTATCCGATCTTACGGTTTTTACACGGTTTTGACCCGGACTGGATTGGTCCGGGTTTTTTGCTAATTCTAAGACCAAAGACGGGATTGGATTGTTTTAAATCCGGTCCCGGTCTTAAAACGGTCCGGTTTCCGGTTTTCAATCCGGTCCCGGTCCAAACTGCCAGCCCTATTTTTAAGGGCACGGATAGAGCTTCCGACCCCCCTTAATTTTATTGACCCTCCACACGAAGTGAGGAATAAGAGTTAAAAGAAATACTCCGGCGAGTGACAGATGTACAGAAATTGCTCTTACTCACCCAATAAGGGCAAACCGCGTATACAAACGCAGTTGGAACCCCAGCAAAGAAAAAAAAACAAATAGTAAGAAGAAGGGGGTTCCAACAAGTGAAATGAAATGAAAGAGCACCCGATACAATGAGTCCTTGGTTGTTGAATTGTGTGAGTCTCCTTATCCATGAATTGAATGTCTTAGTTCCACTGCTTCTCATGATCCTGGCTTGAGTCTAGTACTCGCATTGAGAGAGATAGGAGGCGTCTTAGAAGACCAGTTGACCTCGTAAGTTGCTAAATGATCTAGAAAATCCTCTACCGACGATCGGGGTTGCATGTTGCTATAGAGGTCTGGAAAGTTGCATTGGTTTGAGTCAGGTTTGCTTGGGGACAAGCAAACGGTTAAGTGTGGGGGAGTTTGATAAACCGTTAATTGCACATGTTTTTACCCCTATTCTTGAGCCGTTTGAGATGTTGATTCTCGTGTTTTAGGCCGATTTCACGCTAGGTTGTGCTTGTTTGTGATATTTCAGGTCCTAGTACGTGAATTAAGGTTTGGGAGCGAGTTCGGGGTCGATTGGACGAAGATCGGACGTGTGGCGAGACGCTGAGGAAGCCACACGGGCACTCCTAAAACCCACACGACCGTGTAAGAAACCCATGTGGCCGTGTGGGATTTGGCGAGGCTTCGCACGGGCATATTCGAGATTCCACACGGCCATGTGTCCCTGGCCGTGTAGGAAGCCTGAAATCCACTTAATCGGAACGCCGCGTTTTGACACTCACACGGGCATCTGGGGAAGCCACACGGTCGTGTGGCCTGCCCGTGTGATATGGATTTTCTGGGTTTTAACCCAAATTCGAGCAAAGAAAGAGGGGAATCGACTTTTGAGAGCAAAAACAGAGCCCTAGAGAGAGAAAGTGCGAAGAACACATCCTAGAAGCGATCTTGGAGCTGGGTTTCATCAAATCGAGCTTGGAGATCATCATAGGAGTGAAAATGATCATCCCATAGCAGATTCTTCCCATTGTTATGAGTATGACTGCTTTGTATTCTGTTTCTCTCTCTCTCTCTCTCTATGGAGTAGTCCCTTCTCTCACATGGGTATGAAGAACCCTAGTTCCATGTGTTAGGGATCATGATTGTAATGACTTGGGATTGCTATACTGTTTGGTTTTAATCGAATGATGCATGATTCATTGAATTGATTGAAGTCTGATCAGCTTTTCTTGATTTCTGCTGCAACCTGAGATAGATAGAATCTGATTAGGTTGTTAGAGCTTCTTCATTCTGTAGTAGTAGATTGGCTATACGAGAGTTAGTCAGTCTACTGCTTTGTACTGGAATCCAATTCCAGTAGTGGAGTTCTGTGCTTATTGCTCAGCTTTCTATCCCGGTGAAGACTAGTCGTCTGCTGGGTAGTTAGACTGAGAGGGCTTGGTCAGCTTAAGAGATTCCAAGCTACTGTCGGATCTTTCGCAGTTTAATCAACAGTAAATCAACCCAGGGTAATTACAAATGAGACCTAACTAAGGAGCTAGGGGGACTCATTCCCGAGTGACTCTTCCTTTGCTTCAGAAAACCGAACCAATTCCTGCTTTCTTACTGCTTTTAGTTAAAACAACAATAATCGACTTAGTTGGCTAGATAATAGATAATCACGGAGTAGGCAGTAGATCTAGACCCAGGGTTGATAATTAGAACTTGCCACTATTCTGCATTTCCGGACTGCGATTACACTTGGTCGCAGTTTGGTGTTGTGTTTTACCGTGTCAAGCGACTAAAGGTGGTTCTCATTCGGGCGGGGGTATAGTTATCTTTGATCCGGAGGGGCGGATCCTTCTTGTTTGGGGGTACATCTCCCAGGTAGTGATGATCCAATGGCGGCTGAGTTGCTTACTCTTTGGGAAGGTGTGCAATGGTGCCTAAAGTTGGGATTCACAGAGGCAAGCTTTCAGGGGGACGCGAGTGTGGTCATTGATAAAGTTAATAAGTGTGACCCCCGGGACAATCAGCTAGGGGCCATTGTCAAAGAAGTCATCCAAGTACTGCATCTCATTCAGCTTTTAATGTTAGTTTTGTAGGTCGGAGTAGCAATAGGGTAGCCGATTTGGTGGCTAGAAAGGCCCTCTCTTTGTACCCGTCTACATGTCGATCCTTTGATTTTCTAGCCTTGCTGAATTCCAGGATGTAATGATCTTTTATTAATCAATATTGTCGCAAACGGAAAAAGAGGAGTCGCCACCAATCTCTCAAAGTGGATTGGACACTTGGAAAGTCATTTATGTTTGGAAAATATTGTTGATAGTTATTATTCTAGACCTATGAAATTAAAGAACGCATCCGTTCCAAACCTCAAATTTTGTTCGTTGTATTGGTAAAAAGGATTTTAATGACTTTTACGGTTACAAAATTGTAAACAATAGCAAATCAAATGAAAGAAATATTAATGAGTCAATTTAATAAATGGATGGTTATTTTCGATGACTTAGAGAATAGGGTGATGAAATTACCAACTTTACTACAGTAATCCTGTAAATTCACTAGGGCTACATGGTTAGAATCGTAACTTCAAAAATTAAGAGAGAGCAAACCTTACCTCATCTTAGACGCAAATGAGCTCCAGAACAAAGAGGGGCCGTCCCTCTCCTACTTCTTCCTTTCTTCTCACGACGCGCAGGGGGAACAGTTGGCGGTGGCCTGGATCGTCGATAGAGGCGGGGGTTGTCTGGTGGCAGCGACGATCGACGATGGTGGAAGCACGACGGATGGGGTGTAGTGGTGGAACCGGCGAACGACGATGGAGAGGACTGCGGTGGCGAAGATAGAGCAGTGACGCGGCGGTCGACGAGGAGGCTGGAGGTCTGGCGACGGTTCGGCAACAGTGACAAGGTCGGGCTTTATTACTTTTTGTACTTTTTACTACTAATTGCAGAATGAAATTCTTGGGGTGATATGGATGCGTCTTAGCTATTCTGGAATGATTTGATGTAATGATGATTGGTGGAATTGTGTTTGGGTTTTTGTTAGTGTTCTCTTCCGAGCGTCCCATGATATTTGGAGGCCCTGTCCGAAAATTTAACATATGACTCCTAATTTTTTTCTCAATAAATTTATTAAATAATTATAAAGTACATAAGTTTAGAAAATGATTTCAAAATGAGTAAACAATCTCACTTCCTGTTTGACCAAGAAACCAAGACCAAATTCTCACTCCTAGCAGGGAGGGAGAAAAGTAAATCTGGAGAGAACAGAATATGGATATAGAGCAAAAATTGAATGGGGAAATGAAAATAATATAAATTGATCGAGAGGTGGGTGCGGGTCTATCTAATGGATCGTGTAGGCCCTATTCCAAAATTCACACATGATCCAAATTGACTTTTAACTATAATAAAACTAAAATGATTATAATACCATTATTCAAAATGTAATATCTTTCTTTATTGTTTAAATTAAAATTATCTATTATCTCTTTGATTTTCGTTTTCTCCATGAGATACTTTTCAATTTTTATTATAGCTAAAATTATCTATTAAATTCGTCATCATATTCATAATCTATCAATCATACACTAAAAAAACAACCTGCAATATTCGATCGGTAACTAACGAATCTAAGTGGAGGCCCCTAATATTCGGAGGCCCTGTGCCGGAGGGCGGACCGGCACACCCTCTTGGCCGGCCCTTGTTCTGTGGTGTGAATTGATGAATGGTTGCTGGAAATAAGATGGCAGTGTTTGGATTTTGTGGATTGGCTGAAATAGGGTGGTTTTGTTGTGTGTGTGTTGGCTGGAGGCGGAAACCGTCGGGGTTTTGTTTTCTCCCCTGGAATTGCAGCTGCCGATCTCCTTTTATAGTCCCCAAAATCATTGTATCAAAACTTCCTCTTCAATGGCAACCTAACCATCATCTCCTCGTCCCATTTTTATGTCTTTCAGATTTAACTAGAGAGAGACCCGCGCTATGCTGCGGGCTAATTGATCTGTAAAAAAAATATACATGCTTAATCTTTGTTTCTAATTTTCTCTTTTTTTCCTTTTACATGAGCTTTTATTTTCATCAATTATTTTGGAAAGAGGATATGATTATCGCTCATCGTTATTTTGATATTTTTATTTATGGACCAAAAAATTTAAGCCAGTACAAATATACCATAGTCGTTAGATGGAGAGAAAAATGTCATCATTCTCCATTAAACCTACAGATTTTTTTTAATAATTCCTTATGAATTTTAAAATCATGGGTGTCTTTCTCGAATTGTCAAACCGATTTATTCATTTACGCTAGTTTAACAAATAGAATGATCCTATCGAGTTCAACCGACTGGCATGACAACCTGCTCTCTCGCCCCCACCCTCCTCCCTAAAATAAGATAGCCTTTTATTTTGGTTTATTTCACTTTTTCCATATTAGAAAGGAGAAGACTCACTTTCCCTATTTTCTCTCTTCCTTCCCTTTCTAGTTTCTTTCCTCACTTCCCCTCTTTTTTTTTTTCCCCGGCTACTAAGGCAACATGCAAAAAATATTATTATATTATCACTGTGCCATTTTTTATAACATATTTTCACTTGGTCTAATGATTCAAAAGCAAAGAATTATATTAGATTTGACGTGAATTATAAAGGGATCGTGAAAAAGGAATAAATGGAAGACCCATTCTTACGAACCCATCCCAAAATCCAGAAGCTATTGCAAGAGTCCATAC